TAAATATATATTAATTTATATAACACTAAATTTCACACAAACTCTTTATTCGATATTTTTATCCATAGTAAAAATCATAACGTTGACTTGTTCCTAATGACGCCGAAACCAAACTAAATGACACATAGCATTAAAAATTCACAGAATAGTGGTTGACAGTTGTTCCAACCTTGGAAAACATTTTTTAGATATATTCTTACGGGGAAAATTTAAAATGAGAATTTCCGGGACAGAAGGTTTGAATTTGATTCATTTTAATGGATCCATTTTTTAAGCCCATATATAATCTATTATTTATTTACAAGAGCTCATTGTGGCCATTGTTGGCACTCTCCCATATTATAAGGGGGCCATTGCTGTCTTTCTTTAAGTAATAATGTCGATCTAATTAACTTATTCTTATCGTAATTACATCCTCAAATGGTAAAGGGGAATATGAAGAATTGAATTTTCAAGAAATTGGCTCAATTTGCATAAGAATATTTCAAGCTGATTAGCAGAAGACGGTTTCTTCTGAATGATTTTCGAGATCTTTGTGTTTGCTAATAAATTGAGTTTGTTTTGCAATCAAGCTCGTGCAGGCACACATTTGGTCCACAGTTGAAGCTCTGTCCTCCGCCTGGCCTTGGCATCTTGGGATGCGAGTGCATTCCAAGGCTGCCATGGAACACGCGGAGCTCCGGTGATGACCTAAAAGTAATGACATTAGGGCGCTTTTGAAGGTAACACAACCGAGGCGTCGCCCTCAAATTTCCGTAATGCAAAATAATCCGAATATTCATCGGGGTAGGTTTTTTCGGTGGTTGCAAACGGTGGCTCGTGCTCCACTCACCCCGTGCAGTCCGTTGTGGTAAACATTTTGCTTCAATCTGCTATAGAGCTTCATTATAAAATCGATGAGTGGGCTGAGATGTAAGCTAAGCGCTGACCTAGGGGTTAGGTCACTGAAATGCGCGTCCACTGAGACTCCGACCCGACCCTGGATTCGATTTTCTTAAAATTCAATTAGGCACAAACAAAACTTTAGATCGTGATAGGACTTAATAGAAGTTTGCTTGGCTCGGAGCTACATTTATACTATATGTAAGTCATTAGGGTTCATGATTGTGTCCCATAAGCAACATGGACAATTTAAAGCAGCTTTAATTACATGAAGTGAATTAAATTTGTTCGCAGCTGAAAACCTGTTTCAAGTCATAATTAGAGTGCAAAAGTCAGCAATGAGATGCGCCAAAAGTTTTCAAATAAAGTTACTAAGCTTGGCAAGGCAATTATATTCCACTGAAGCCCAATACGTTTAGTTAGCTAAAGATATTTCATAGCATTTATATCTGCACAGTCTGCCTGTCTGTGTGTCTGTCCGCCTCATATATACTATAATGGGTTTCTAATGGGTTTCAGTCGTTGCAAGTCAAAGTCTTAGGACTTTACATTTTCAATATCGATCATTTATTTCTCCCCTCTTTTCAGCTTTCAACAAACATCATCCTAGAGATTTATCTGCTCCGGCTGAAAACCAGAAGCAACAGCTTGGCTTGAAACGAGGCGAACCCGAATTTTTCTATTATTTTCTATTTATTATGGGTATATTGGCTTTGCTTATGTAAATGTAACAGGCAGAAGAAGATGATTCTTTGTATATGTAATATGTATTATTCCTAGAAAGCAGCCGAATCTTATGTAACTTGTACGTCAATCGATAGGCAAGATCCCATGCACTCAAATGAAATACTTGCATTGGAATTTCATTTCAAGAAGTTAAATTTGAATCTATCAGTTGTTGCTCTAGCTTTTTTGGATTGATCATTACCAATCACAAATCATCATTACAAAATACATTCCGATACAAATTGTACGTATTCGGGGCTATAAAGGGATATGCTCTAGGATAAGAACCTACATATATGTCTGTGCAGCTGTATGTGTGTCAGCCCGAAGGGTATCTTTTGGCCCAGCAATCGAAACTGAGCCTTTCTATTGCAGCTTGTAGTTGCTAGGCCACAAAGACCCGATAACCTTTCTGCCGTCCCAAACCCGAGAAGCACATGCAAAGTGCGATTCCGTCTGGTGAAATAGCTAATGTTCTCTGGCGCTCAACGTCTCCTTCCCACTTCTGTTTCTCCTGTTGTCCGTGGCAGCTGCATTCGGTTGGTCAGTGCAAAATAGACTGAAATTGATGATGTCACTTGATAGGGCGAATGAGTTTTTCAGTTTCCATTTTTCACATTGAAGCTAGTTGTGTTTGAGGCCCCAACCAGGGCTGTCGAGTCCACACCAGGCCAGCCAGGCTCTTGGCCAGTCCGAACAGCTCCTCCAGCTTCACGTTCATGTTGTTTAACAAATTCATCCTGTTGCTTGCGCTTCAGTGCGTGCCTAGTGCTGGGTTGGACAGCCATCACATGGCATTGTATCCTGCAGCGCACGAGGGCCTTGCACACACACACCCACACGTGCAGACATGCACGGACACACGATAGCACCCACACATATGCGCATATGCGATTTTGGGTAGGCCATTGTTGTGCATCGACCTGTTTGATTGGCTTACTTTTTGCACGTTTTTAATTAGTGCAGGGGAGCATAGAAAAAGTAGTTCCATGTGGCGTGTGGCGTGTGGCGTGTGGCATGTGGTGTATGGCGTGTTGAATGTGGCAACAGTGCTTTAAGTTGCTGGCGCATTAAACAACATGAAATATTTCATAAGCGCATTGCGACCCAGCCACAATGCCAGATGATTTATGCAAAGTGCTCAGACTGTGAGCATGAGTTTGAATATGAGTATTACTATGAGTATTCCATTCTCTTTGTGCGTGTGCGCCACATGGGGTGAGTGTGAATGTGTGAGTGTGTGAGTGTGACTGTGTGCACCTTTACAGGCGCCACAAACAAAAGACCAACAATCGACTTCATACGATTCCATGCGACTCGTTATAGCTACAAATTTTCCAAATTTTGTAACAATAGCGCGCACACAGCCAAACCGTGACATGAATACGTGTGTGAGCTCCGTGAAGTGAAATCACTTGTGTATTGGTTTGACTTTTTCCTGAGCCAGGCTGCATTGAATCGGGCTTTGAACTAGCTATAAGCAGTCGACTGAATGGCTAAATTCTACTTTTTCGCATTACATAGTCAAAGAATATTTTTGATTCTATTTTATTTATATATGTCAATCTCATACTTTATAGTTGCTTGACATACCTCAGAAGACATTATATTTATCGATAATCTACAAATTCGACCTTAGTACATTACTGATAAGTAGCAGAACTCATACTGAAGTATGTGTGTCCCGTAACTCTATATGAAAGTCCCTCTCCCTTGTAAAGAAAATTCAATCAGAGGAATCTTTGAGGTCGTCTTTAGCCTCATGCAAATAGGTTTCTTAAGGTTAAGTTACTTGGCGTCTATCTCTTGGCTTGTGACACACACACACACATAGATACACACTCGTTCAGCTATTCAGCTGCAGATGCTTTTTGTGGCACTTACCTTATTGGAATGGCCATTGAATTTCAATAGCTTCTTGCAGGACTTGCCGCGACTCTCGAAATAGATTTCCTGCGGAGTCCGTCGACGTCGCTGCGCTGCCGGCTGCGCTGTCAGCGTCTTGCGCTGCATGAACGGCGGGTCGCCTTGGCTGCTCTCGGTGCCTGCCACGGACTGTGTCGCCTTGTGGCGGCTCACGCAGAACAAACGACTTAAGATGCCGCAGCAGCCGCTCGCTACTGGCGTTTCACTCTCTGCTGCTGTCGTTGTTGCTGTCCCTGTTGTTGCATTGTTGTTGGCACAGCAGCGGGCGGATATGGTCATTAGGTTGGCATTGTGGCGTGTCTGGCGATTGACGTCCATTTCCATGGTGCGCAACAAAAACTGTTGCCTACTTTCCTGCGTGCTGTGTTGATTTGCGAAATGTTTTTGCTTGTTTACCGTTACTGTCGTTCTTGTCGTTGTTGTTGCTGCTACTGGTGTTTCTTTGCTGCTATTAAAACAGAGTTTACGGCAGTTTCGTTTGCTTTTTTATATGCAAATCGCCAGCCGGAAGTTTGGGATTCTTTTATTTTGTGTGTATTTATTTCTCCTTTTTTAGCAGTCACTGAAAATAGCAGAGAGCTGTGGCAGGTGGTTCAATGATGCTGTTGTTGTTGGTAGTTAAGCACACAAGAACTTGGCGCCCGCACGCACTAATTCACAATCGCAAACGCTCGTACGGACACACACACACCCTCACACGCATACGCTTACTCTTACGCTCTCTCACACACAGACAGCCGCAAAGTTCAGGTGAGAGATATGAGCAGCCGCGATGCTTACGAGCCGAGGGCAGCCAGCCAACTGATAGCAAGGCGCCGTGCTTGTGCTTGGGCTGTCGAGGTGGTGCAGCGTTGCCAGACCGCGGAGAGAGCAGCTGACTGCGGGCATTGCGCATGTCGGGCGCACAGTGAGTGCTAAAAAGCAAGTCACCTGCCGTGCGCCCTTGGCAGCTGCTTGTGAATGAACCAAAGATTTTTGCCTGTTTACGTTGGCTGGTTCTGCATCGCCTGCTGCGGCTGCTGTTGTGATTTCTGTTGCGAGGCGTGGCAAGGGTCTGTTACGTCGTTACGTTGAGCGGGTAGTAGTTCAAAGTTGTAGCGCGTTTTGCTTTATGTGTGTAATTGTTTGGCGGCAGTCGAGCGGCGCCTCGTGCTATGCAGCAGTTTTTTAAGATACCCTGTAATAATGGAGATGTCGAAACGGGGCTGGAATCGATTCGAGTTTACAAGACTCTGACAATAAGTCATAACAAACTCTGATAAAAAGAGATAACAAATACTGAAGATAGGGTATAACAATTTCTCTTTATTTGAATGCGCCTTGAATTACCCTGTTGGGTAAATTTTAAGTATTAAGTAGTTGCATAAAGGCAAGGAAACTTAAAAACGGTTGTAGACTTTCAAGCAACCGTTAATGGTTTAACTAAGAAGTGAAAAATTTCGAATTATTATAGAAAGAAGAAAACCAACTCCCAATGATAGCACCAAATTCATAACAACTTTAAAAGCAGAGGTAAGGCGGAAGTCCTGGAAGCGATGAAACTGAGACACCGATCGACCTCCTTGCGCAAGAGCAAAGGAATTTATGTATGGAAGATATCTCTCCCAAATTTGAGAATTTAAAGAATAACATACTGTGTACGTCTGCAATAAATTATAAATATTTCTTAAACATTTTGAAGCTGAAGTTAAATATAAGATAAGACCAAATAAAAATTTGAATTTAGTTTTGTTTTTGGACTGAATGAATGAGTATTATGCAGTCGGTAGACCCGGAATGTGACATTATTAACTGTTACTATACCCTGAAAGGGCGACGAGCTGAGTCGATGATCGCGTCGATCTATGAAGATATAAAAGCAATAGACGTGAATTTTTTTCCTAGGTCCGTGTATATCACGCGTTTTTCACCATAAATCGATAGCTACTCCCGATATTAGTTTTGTTATCGATTAAATAGCTTGTCGAAAACTAGTTCTCTAATTATATCTACACCTTTAGAGCTACAGTCTCCAAAGTTTAAACCACCCCTCTCCACCCAACCCCTATATCCACCCCCTCACCTTTGTAAAAGGCGCTCTTCAAATAGTAAAGACTTGTGCTTCGGCACATGCATTGTCGATCGACAAGAAAAGTTATTAAACAATTAAGTTCCCATAGTAAGCCCACACTGCAGTCTATGCGTGTTTATGCGTGCATGTCTATGCTAGTCTGTGTGTGGGTTTCTTGTGTAAGCAGAAAGATGCGAATAATTATTGAAATAACAATTCTTAGAAGCGTTCAGGGGATTTCTTAGTCGAGCAGAGTCAAGTAGAGCTTTCTTATTTGTTTATTTTTGAGTTGACTTCATTAATTTAAATTTTTAATAACATTCAGTTTAGTTCACCTATATGGAGTAATTTATCCTATAAATTTCAAAGATTTTTTTACATCCTACTACAGGGTATTTTTCAGTCTTGCAGTTTTCGCAACTTAAATTAAAACTTCTGCTGTTTTTGCAGTGCTTTAGTGGAAGGTTACTGACTAAAGTGATGAGAGGGCACACATCTCATCAGTTGAGTGTAGATATCTATGCGTGTGTATGTGTGTGTGCAGCTGTAATTGTTTGTTTTGCGCTAGTGTGTGTGTGAGAGAGTGCTGTATCTCGGCTCTGTACGTAATTTCAATGTTTCACCATAATCTTTGATTTGATTATGTTGTTGAGCTGGCTCCACTGTGTGCACAAAACGTGCTGAGATGTCCTTTTCTAGTTCCCTGGTGCGTGAGTGTGTGTGTGCGTAAGTTTGTGTGTGTGGGTGATTGTCTCGGCCACTTCCGGCTGGAGCTATAAACGGATTATAAAGTAATTTAATGCTTTTTGTTGTCTGCACGATAAGATAGTCGCCAAGGGTGCCAGGGCATGTCCATTAACTGGGAGAGAGTGAGATGGCAAGAGAAAGGCGAGCGAGAGGCAGCAAAGAAGTGGGAGCTTCGGCAATAAAAACTTTTAATGTTTGTTTGCTGGAACATCTCTGAGCATTGGATCGCATCACGCATACGCACTGCTGTGCCGCCAAATTTGTTGGTCAGACCCATTTAATGAGTTTGAGCTATGACTGTTGCTGTGGCTACTACTGTTCTTGTTGGTGTTGTTTTAGTTTTCGCTGTAGTTTTTGTTGCCCACTAATATTTCTGTGCGTAATTAATGTCCAACAGTTTGGCAGCTGTTTGTCTTGCTGCAGCTGCTAGTTTCCCCTTCCTGCTGGTTCCGTTAGGTTCGTTTGGTCATTTTGGCAACATGTTTATCTGCCTCAATGCGCAAATACATATGTATGCTATATACTCGAATATTTATGTTCGACGCACACACACGCATTTAGCTAGATTGTCACATTAATTTTGTACGTTAAGCTGTCAACGTGGTCAATATTTTTGTATGTTATTCGTGACTTGGAGGGTGGGCAGTCCGGCAGTTCGGCAGTCTGGCAATCCGACACAGCCGACAGTCCGACCGTCCGACAGTCCTTTATTTATTTATTTTTGTTCTTTTTTCACGCACGTTTTTGTTCGCCTGTCGATTTCTTGGGTCCAGAAATATTTGAGGCCATTCCTCCTGCTTTCAGCAGGATAGGCCCAGAGATAAGTTCGTCCAAGATTATCTTTATACCTAGGCTTTGCCATATTTGTGCACTTCCGTTCATCTGCCTCTTGTAGCTTTTTGCTAGACCTCCGGCCCTCAACTCAGCTCATGGGTGCTAAATTAAATGAAGTGCCGAACGTTTCACATTCAGATAATTGCGTTCTAGGCCCTGGGCAGAGCAGCAGACGAATGCATTCTCAAATGAACACCTGAGCACTTCTTCCTGAAATTAGTTGAAGTGAATTTTCTGCTACTCAGCAGTATTTGCGGAGGTGAGATTGGAGATTTATTTCGAAATCTCAATATTAATACAAATGTGGTTAAAATATTAATAGGAAGCATTAATAATAATTTGAGGTAGATATTATTGAGGTAGATATTATTGTGCTGTTCATTGCAGAGACTGCAAACCAAAGGCTAACCTAAATAGAATTTAACTCTAGATAAATTTCTGAGCGGTGAATGTAGAACTTATTTACATTAATACATATATTATTTACTGCACATTTTCATTCACTAAGCTATAAATACACTCACGTGATAAGTGCTTGAGTTTCAATTCAATACTGTGATTGCCTTCTTCTATCTAATAACCTGTCTCCAAGTAAATTGCGCTGGTCTATGAAATGATAAGGTTCTCATCTGGCTGCGAGCGTTGGGTATTAAAGATCCGCATCAACACGAGTGGTTTTTCATGAGCATATCTTATACAATATCTTTATAAAACTTTAAGACAGGAATCTTAGCATAGAAAATCGATAGGTAGTAGGGCTTCTGGTATTTCAAATGGAGCATGTATTCAGAATTCGAAGTGTCTATGTTCAATAGAGGCGAGATTATTACATGGACAGACAGCAACCAATAAGTCTACTTGAATTTGCGAATGAAGTTATGATCTGGTGAAAGTGTACACTTTCAACTTTTAACTATTTATTCCCAGTTCGAGAGGTGAGACTTGGAGTTCTTATGAGCGCTACTATCTCGTAAATCACACAATTTATAATGTTAAATTACAGTCTGATATATTTCATTTATGATAAGTCAACTAGTTCGCTTTTGCCATTAGCACAAAAGAAGAAAAAGATTGACTGCGAAGTTATTTCGTTAAACGTACAAATGATAAAATAATTTCTGTCACTAATATTGGTTCATGCTCTTAGCCCGATGTGTTACATATATAAGTTTTTTACTCGATACTTTCAACTCGTTCATCGCACATAGTCACGCATAGAACGCACTTGATATAGATGAGTGTGTGTGTGTGGGAGTGTGGGTGTGTAAGTGTGGAGACGGAATGCCAAATTCGCTTCAAATGCCGTACAGGACTCAACTTTTTCATAAAGCAGCTACAAGCGGCTCTCCACGTCCCGGCTCCTCCACTACCGAGCTCTACCTCCAGCTCCCCACGTTCCCCAATCTCTCATGCGCCCCCTCATCCACTATCAGTCTCAATTACGCAGCATTTTTGTATGTGTCGAACGCTGTTAGCAATGAAAACTCTGCAACTGTAGCCGAAACTGAAAAGTTCCATTGCATTTACCAGCACAAAAAAAAAACCCAAAACTGTTGCCTAATTGCAAAAATGCTGCCGGGCAAACATATGAGCACTCACACACACACACATACGGAACAGCCCAACTTTGCACTGGGAAAAGAAAAGTACGCTAAAAGCTTAAACAAAACCTCAATAAAGCCGTTGGCCGTTGCCAGAAAGGATGTTGGTGGAGGGGAGAGGGGGGGTTAGGTGGCTAGCAGGAGGCGAGGTTGGAGGTCGTTACAAACTATTGAAGCGGCAAATGGCAAACGGAAAAGTTTGCGGCGCAGGCGCAGCACCCCTGACCATATTGCCAGCAGCCAAGGGAGCAACAGCAACAATAACAACAACGACGTCATGTAAATGACGCTTTTATGTTGCAATCACGCGTTCTCGTCTCCAGTATGTATATAAGTCCCTTTTTTTTCTTGCCCAAACTCTTGGTTTTTGTTTTATATGCAATGAAATTTTATGATTACTGCCGAAAAAAGACAAAAGACAAAAAATTTGCCCACAAAAGTTTTTTGCCAACCACGGGTTATGCACTTGGCCAAATGTCACGCTTTGATGCCTTCGTTACTCTTGTTGCAATTGTTGCTGTTGCTTCTGCAGCAGTTGCTACTGATGCTGTC